TGCAGCAGCGAACAGGATACGGAAATCATGCGGTTTCCCAAGCCAACCTACGAAAACATGCACAGGACTACTTACCCGTTTCCCTGTAGACATGTAGATCATTTTACCCTACTTACGACGAATACCTCGCGCCCCCGAGGAGTGCTTTCTGAACCACTTACCTAGGCTGCAGGCGCGAAACAACCGCACGTAGGTCATGTGCCCCTCACTAAAATACAATTAGATCCCAACCATTCCAGCCCACGAGCCCGGACGCTACTGTACCTATTAGAGACCACAGCAGCGGCGCCCCAAGTCATTACACGTCACACTCGCATGCGGGAGGCAGCCTTGGCGGTCCCGCACGCCGAGCCAAGGTGGGAAGTGAACTCTCTACTTCCGCCTGGCCGCCGCTCGCACGCAATGCACGCGGGCTCGGGAGCATCCACGCGAGGAAGTTTGAAGAAATCCCCTTATGTATTTATCATTCCCTCGGCAGGGGAGGAAGACGTCTCCACCCTTCGCTCGTCCGTGAAGGGCACGAGTCGCTGCCACGATCAATCAACCGCGGAAAACATGACTACATGACATGCCAATAAAATCATAATAACAGTGATACCAAAGCGTCGAGCCGCGCCACCTTCCCGACGCCCCAAACTCTGGCCAAGGGACGCGAAAAGGGACGCCCACCCACCTTCTACGTAGAGGCTGATTTCCTGGGCCTCGTTCTCGTCGCCCTCGTAGAAGATGCTCCTGATCTTGGCGCTCTCGTAGTAGAGGCTGCTGGAGGTGCTGGCCGTGGAGAGGAGGGAGGCGTTGTAGTAGCCGGGGGAGTAGGCGGCGTCGTAGGTGTTGGGCTCGCTCTGCCCCAGCAGGATAGTCGACGAGGAGCTCACGTACACTGCAAGCCACGACGCAAGCTCAAGCAAGCGAGTCGACCCAAGATCAACTCAAAGGGCACACCTCGAATACACGTGTATATATATCAAATAATCTGCATTTTATATATCAAAACCTTGTTGGAATACAGGAACGACTTTCGAAAGATGAGCCATGTTCTTTTCCCCCAACGAGTGAAGCGCTTGTCACAGTGACCCCACGCCAATTATAAATTCACGTCGCTGAATGACCAAGAGCTCGATTGACTTTAATTACTTCTTTTTACGTTTAATACTGTAAAGACGAGTGTCAGTTTCGTTGGCATTTCCGGCAGCAGAATGATGACCGCTGTTTCTCCTTGAATTCACGTGTGTGCGCGGAGGCGTGGCCAGGGGGTGGGAGGGGATAAAGGGGAAGGAGAGGAGAGGGGAGGAGAGGAGAGGAGAGAAGAGAAGAGAAGAGGAGAGGAAGAGGAGAGGAAGAGGAAGAGGAGAGGAGAGGAGAGAGAGGAGAGGAGAGGAGAGAAGAGGAAGAGAAGAGGAAGAGAAGAGGGAAGAGAAGAGGAGAGAGAGAGAGAGGAGAGGAGAGGAGAGGAGAGGAGAGAAGAGGAAGAGAAGAGAGAGAAGAGAGAGAAGAGAGGAGAAGAGAGGAGAAGAGAGGAGAGGAGAGGAGAGGAGAGAAAGAGGAGAGGAGAGGAGAGGGGAGGGAGGGAGAGGGAGGGGAGGGGAGGGAGAGGGAGGGGAGGGGAGGGGAGGGGAGGGGAGGGGAGGGGAGGGGAGGGGAGGGGAGGGGAGGGGAGGAGAGAGGAGAGGTGGTAGTGAAAGAAGGGAGAAAGTAGAAAGGAGGAGAGGGGAGGGGCATGAAAAGCAGGAGAAGGGAGAACGGAGGAAAGGGTAGCAGAATGAAGAGATATGAAGAGATGAGGAAGGAAGGGAAAAAAAACAGGACAATAGAGGAAAAGGGGGAAGAGGAGACGAGAGAATGGAAGAAAGGTGAGGAGGAGAAGAGGAGATAAGGGAGGAGAAGAGGAGATAAGGGAGGAGGAAACGAGAGAATGGAAAAGGAAAGGGGAATGGGGGAAGAGGGGAGGAGGAAAAGAGGGAGAGAAGGGAGAGAAGAGGGATGGGGGGGCGAGGCACAACAGGGTGCGCGGTGTCTCTCTCACTGTTACTCTGTTGCAATGACTTCTCCTGCGCTGCACTTGATTTCCGGGGTGGGTCGGTTGGCCCGGCTCGCTAATGCAGCAACAGCTAATCACAAAAGAGAACAGACAGACAGCCGACGCAAAAACAGGTCTTTACATTACTCACAGCATGACAGGAAATATCGAAACCAGATTGTGGATTAGGTCTTCATCCAAAAACTGTTCATATTACGGTATCATAATGACTTAGGAAAATTAAAACGAAGTTTCTATCCTTTTTCAAAACAGACACACACACACAAACACAAACACAAACACACACACACACACTCACACTCACACTCACACTCACACTCACACTCACACTCACACTCACACTCACACTCACACTCACACTCACACTCACACTCACACACTCACACTCACACTCACACTCACACACACACACACACACACACACACACACACACAAAGTAGCCCTTTCCTTGCATTACCCAT